AAAAACAGAAGTGTCTTTAGTGACTCTATGCAAAAAAAAAAAAAAAAAAAAAAAAAGAAAATTAACCAGCACCTGTGGGAGAGCATCCACAGAGAGAAGAAACACAGTAATGGCATCACCAGTAGCAAAAAACAGGTGATAAATTGACAATCTGGTTATTTATTTATTTATTTATTTATTTTTAGCTTGAGACACAGTCTCACTCTGTTACCCTGGGTAGAGTGCCATAGTGTCACAGCTCACAGCAACCTCAAACTCTTGGGCTTGAGCAATCTTCTTGCCTTAGTCTCCCAAGTAGCTGGGACTAGAGGCACCTGCCACAATGCTGGACTAGGTTTTCTATTTTTATTAGAGATAGGGTTTTACTTTTTCCCAGGCTGGTCTCAAACTCCTGAGCTCAAGCAATCCACTCACCTTGGCCTCCCACTGGGATTATAGGCATGAGCCACCAGGCCCAGCTACAGCCCGTTCTTGTAATGACATCTTTATGTTGTCTATTGGCTTCTTAGTTTAAATCAGGAGAAAACTGGTTGAAGACATTCTGGGGATCATCTAATGATTTCTGTGTCACAGAACACACTCATATATCTGACTTTGGTCCTTCCCAGATATCTGATTATTAGTTCTTAAGAGGTCTTATTTCATTTATTAGGATAATTAATGTTTATTTCTTTTGTTCTGATCATATAGTTAATTTACTGGTTCTATTAGAGTAGAACAAATTTAGTATTCATCTACTAGTCAATTACTATTATTACATATGCAAAACATTCAGGGATCATGTGACATTCAAGAGGGCCTTTTTGTCTACATAAAATGTGCTCAGTACCAGTATTTGATCATAAGTCTAGAAATCACCTCTATACTTCCACAATGATCAACAGCTCTAGCTTTTCATCAGACTTACTAGCTGGGTTCTGGGAGGACCGAGGCAGAGCTAGCAAGGTGCCTGAAACTGCTAGCTAAGACTAGCAGATAAGACCTATGTAACCTAAAATATTTGTACCTCCTTAATATTTTGGATAAGACTAGATAGGTGCTAGATAAGACTTTTTCTTGTCCAAGATAAATTCTATACACCCCAATAGCATTGCAGTGATCTTGCTCATTGTGGAACTACCTCCAGATTCTCCACAGATGTGAGGTTATTAAGAGAAGAGGATAGGCCTTCAACATCACTGATGCTGAGGCCCCTATTGGGCAGGGGGAAAGGTGGTTGACATAGGGAAAGAGAGTCTGGGGCAACAAGGACGTAGAGACAGACTGGGATAGAGAAACTGAGGCAGAGGCACCTTTTGGGTCTGTTCCTTCACTTCCTATCCTATTCCATTTGTCTGTCTTTCTTTCTTTCTTTCTTTCTTTCTTTCTTTCTTTCTTTCTTTCTTTCTTTCTTTCTTCCTTTCTTCCTTTCTTTCTTTCTTTCTTTCTTTCTTGACAGAGTCTCAAGCTGTCAGCCTGGGTATGAGCATCACAGCTCATAGCAAACTCAAACTCTTGGTCTTAAGCGATTCTCTTGCCTCAGCCTCTGAAGTAGCTGGGACTACAGGAGCCTGCAAAATGCCTGGCTATTTTTTTTGTTGTTGTTGCAGTTGTCATTGTTGTTTTAGCTGGCCCAGGCTGGGTTTGAAGCCACCAGCCTGGATGTATGTGGCTGGCACCCTACCCACTGAGCTATGGGTGCTGTCCTGGTCTGTTTTTCTATACTTTTGCCAACATCATTTATTTCTAGAGTGTTTATACAGTCTTGGCTCACTGCACTTCCATATACATATCTTTTAAAATTTCAAAATATTAGGGAGGTACAAATGTTTTAGGTTACATGGGTCATTTTTTTAATGCTTGAGTCCTGGCTATAGGTGCACTCATCACCCAAATTGTTTATACCATGTATTAGATTGGTTTACTAACCCCTTCCTCCTTGATCGCCTCCCACTGAGTTTTACTTTCCTCTGTGCACTCGTGTGCTCATTGTTCAGTACCAATTTAATAGTGAGTACATACATTCTATTCTTGTGAGACTTCACTTAGGAGAATGGTCTCTTCCATCCCAGTTGTTGGAAAAAGATATTAATTCATTTTTTTTATGGCTGAGTAATACTCCGTGGTATACATTTACCACATTTTATCAATCTACTCATGAATCGATGGGCACTTGGATTGATCCCACATCTTTGGAATTGTGATTGTGCTGCAATAATCCTTGAAGGACATGTGTCATTTTGGTAAAATGACTTCTTTTCCTTTGGATAAACACCTGGTAGTTGAATTAATGGATTGAATGGTAGGTCTAGTTTAAGTTCTTTGAGGAATCTGCATACAGTTTTCCATAGAGGTTGTACTAATTTGCAGTTTCACCAATGATGTGTAAGCATTTCTTTCTCTCTGCATCCATGTCAACATCTATTGTTTCTGGACTTTTTAATAAAACCTGTTTTAACTAGGTTAAGGTGATATCTCAATGTGGTTTTAATTTGCATTTCCTCGATGATTAGTGACATGGGACATTTTTTCATATGTTTATTGGCCATTTATCTTTCTTATTTTGAGAAGCATATCTTCATGTGTTTAGTCCACTGTTTAATAGGGCTGTATGTTTTTTCTTGCTGATTTGCTTGAGTTCTTTGTAAATTTTGGTTATTACCCTTCAATGGGTATGTAACTATTTTTTCTTATTCTGTAGGTTGTCTATTTGCTCAGTTGATTGATTGTTTATCTGTGCAGAAGATTTTTTTTTGAATGGTAACTGTGTACATTAATGCACTTCTGGGGTACAGGGTGGTGTTTTCACATACAATCCGAAACACTTCCATCAAACTGGTTAACATAGCCTTCATGTCATTTTCTTAGTTATTGTGTTAAAACATTCATATTCTACTCATAGAAAGATTCACTTGTACCCTTGTAAGATAAACCACAGAAGTGAACCCTCGAATCTCCCTCCCTCCACCCATTTCCCCCTCCTTCCCCCCTCCCCATATCCTTATGTTGTTATTAGGTTATAGCTTTCGTATAAAACCATGTAATATTCTTTTTTGGAGCATTCAATCAGAATTTGAAATCAATTCTAATAGCTGGAAATTTATTTGTAATTTTCTACTATTTAGAAAATGAAGCTCCCGCGGCGGGCTGGCAGGGCTCCCGCGGCGGGCTGGCAGGCGAGCGAGGGCGGCATGCGGGCGTCCTGCGTGCTGCTGGCCGCGCTGGCGGCGCTGGCCGCCTACTACGTGTACATCCCGCTGCCCGGCTCCGTGTCCGACCCCTGGAAGCTGATGCTGCTGGACGCGACCTTCCGGGGCGCACAGCAAGTGAGTAACCTCATACACTACCTGGGACTGAGCCATCACCTGCTTGCACTGAATTTTATCATTGTTTCTTTCGGCAAAAAAACTGCCTGGTCATCTGCCCAAGTGAAGGTGACAGACACCGAGTTTGATGGCGTGGAAGTCAGGGTGTTCGAAGGCCCTCGAAAGCCAGAGGAGCCGCTGCAGCGGAGCGTTGTGTATGTCCACGGAGGAGGCTGGGCCTTGGCAAGCGCAAAAATCAGATATTATGATGAGCTGTGCACTGTAATGGCTGAAGAACTGAATGCTGTCATTGTCTCCATTGAGTCACTGTTTGGATGCCACCCTTTCAGCCAGGCCTTTCTTGACAAGTAAAGTTGCAACCTGCCTTCCTCTATTTTCTCTGCAAGGCTGTCATCAGTGCCTTACAGACCACATATTCAACTTATTATGTGGGTTTTTTTTCATGAAAATCAACCAGAAAATTAACTTTTTTTTTTTTTTTTGCAGTTTTTGGCCGGGGCTGGGTTTGAACCCATCACCTCTGGCATATGGGGCTGGTGCCCTACTCACTGAGCCACAGGCAGCACCCAGAAAATTAACTTCTTCTGTGTTTATTGTAGTAAGTGGAAATAGACAAGATGAACTTGATAAAACAAGAATTTTAGAGAAAAAAAAAAAGAAAATGACTACTATGATTACGTGATTGTAAAATTTTTGTTCTAAGTTTATGTTTTTTTCTTTATTAAGACAATAAACAACAGTTATGTCAAATGTATCTTTGCAAAAATACATCTTTGCACATTTTTCCTAAGAAGTGGCATTCAGGAAATGTTCCAAAACATTTTCTACAGTCAATGTTTCTGTTGTCATGGTCACCTTCTGTTTTTTCTTTTTGATAAGAGCCATTTTGTAGTAAGATGGTATCTCATGGTGATTTTGATCTGCATTTCTTTGGTCATTAGTGATATTGAGAAGTTGTTTCATACACCTCTTGGCCACTTGTATATTCTTTTTTTTATTTTACCCATTGACATGCTTGAGTTCCTTGTGTTTTATGGATCTTTTGTCAGATCAATAGTTTGTAAATAAATATTTTTTCCTGTTCTACATGTTTCTCTTCATTCTGTGGAGTATTTACTTTGCTATGCAGAAGTTGTTTAGTCTAATATGGTCCAATTTGTCTACTTTTGTTTTGTTGCCTGTGGTTCTGAAGTCTTAGCCATAAAACCTTTGCCTAGCATAATGTCCTGAAGTGCTTTCCCTGTGTTTTCTTCTAGGAGCTTTGTAGTTTGGGGACTTCTGTGTAACTATTTAATCCATTTTGAGCTGATTTTTTGCATATGGTGAAAGATAGTGTTCTAGTTTCATTCTTCTGCATATAGGTATTGGTTTTCTAAATGTATGTTTTTGGTGCTGTTGTCAAAAATCAGTTGTCTGTACATGTGTGGATGTGTTCTTTATTCAGTTCCATTCATCAATGAGTCTGTTTTCATGCCTGTACCATGATGTTTTGATTATTGTACCTTTATACAGGGTGACCAAAAAGTTGCCATAATAGGGAAAATGGGAAATTGTAGCTAAGTGTACCTTTATTTATGAAATATTCTTTATAAAATTTTATAAAGAGGTGGCCAACACATAGAGAAAATTTCATATTTTATAAAATTTTTTAAAATGAATCAAATCAGGGTAATTGGGATATCCCTCACCTCAGGCATTTATTATTTATTTATATTAGGGACATTCCATTTCCAGTCTTTTAGCTATTTTAATGCATACCTAACTTATTGTTGAGTATAGTCTCTTTGCTGTGCTGTGAAATATTGTTATTCTGTCTTTGTGGTCTTAATATATTTTTGCACCTATTAACCACCCTCACTGTATCTTTCCTTCTCCCTGCTACTCTTCCCATCCTCTGGTATCCATCATTCTACTCTCTGTCTTCATGAGATCAATTTGTTTTTTTTAAGAGTCTCACTCTGTCACCCTTGGTAGAGTGCCGTGGCATCACAGCTCACAGCAGCCTCCAGCTCTTGGGCTTAGGTGATTCTCTTGTCTCAGCCTCCTGAGTAGCTGGGACTACAGGCATCCACCACAACGCCTGGCTATTTTTTGTTGCAGTTTGGCTGGGGCTGTGTTTGAACCTGCCACCCTCAGTATATGGGGTTGGCACCCTACCCACTGAGCCACAGGCTCTGCTCATGAGATCAATTAAAAAAATTTTTTTTAAGCTTCCATGTGAGTGAGAACATGTGATATTTGTCTTCCTGTGCTTGGCTTACTTCGTGTAACATAAAGTTCTATCCATGCAGATGGCAGAATTTCATTCTTTTTTGTGGCTGTATAGTATTCCACTATATATATATATACCATATATCATATATACCATAATTTCTTTATGCATTCTTCCACTGATTGACATTTAGCTTGATTCCAAATCTTGTCATTGTGACTACAGAAGACTGTAGATATTTTTTCAATATACTGAATTTCCTTTCTTTGGATATCTACTCAGCAATGGGATTTCTGGGTCTTGTGATAATTCTATTTTTAGTTTTTTGAGGAACCCCCACATCATTCTTCATGGTGATTGCACTAATTTACATCTCCTTCAACAGTGTACCAGGCTCCCCTTTCTCCATATCCTCACCAGCATTTGTTATTGCCAGCCTTTCTGGTAAAAACCATTTCAAATTGGTGAGATGATTTTGATTTGCTTTTCTCTGATGCCTATTGGTGACATCAAAAATATTAAATACCAAGGAACAAGTCTGTCAAAAAACAACTGCCCTGAGATGAAATTAAGAAGGAAATTACAAAGTTTTTGGAATAAATGATAATGAAGACACAAACTATCAGAACCTATGGGATATGGAAAAGGCAGTCCAAAGAGGGAAATTTATAGCACTGCAAGCCTTCCTCAAGAGAAAGGAATGAGAGTAAGTTAACCACTTACTGGGACATCTCAAGCAACTGGAAAAGGAAGAACATTCCAATCCCAAACCCAGCAGTAGAAAATAAATAACCAAAACTAAAGCAGAATTAAATGAAACTGAAAACAAAGGGATTATACAACAGATCAATAAATCAAAAAGTTTTTTTTTGAAAAGGTCAATAAAACAGACAAACCTTTGGCTAACCTAACCAGGAAAAAAAAGAATAAAATCTCTCATCAATCAGAAATAGTAAAGACAAAATAACAACAGACCCCTCAGAAATTCAAAAAATCCTTAATGAATATTACAAGAAACTTTATTCTCAGAAATATGAAAATCTGAAGGAAATTGACCAATATTTGGAAGCACATCACCTTCTAAGACTTAGCCAGAATGAAGTGGAAATGTTGAACAGACCTACACCAAGTTCTGAAATAGCATCATCTATACAAAATCTCCCTAAAAAGAAAAGCCCAGGACCGGATGGCTTGTCATCAGAATTCTACTAAACATTTAAAGAGGAACTAGTACCTATATTACTTAACTTTTCCAAAATATAGAAAAAGAAGGAATACTTCCCAACATATTCTATTCAGCAAACATCACCTTGATACCCAAACCAGGCAAAGACCCAACAAGAAAAGAAAATTATAGACCAATATCACTAATAAATATTGATGCAAAAATATTCAACAAGATCCTAACCAACAGAATCCAGCAACACATCAAACAAATTATACCGCATCACCAAGGGTTTTATCCCAGGATCTCAAGGCTGGTTCAGTATACATAAATCTATAAACATAATTCATCACATAAACAAATTAAAAAACAAAGACCATATGATTCTCTCAATTGATGCAGAAAAAGCTTTTGATAATATCCAGCATCACTTCATGATCAGAACACTTAAGAAAATTGTGGGGACATTTCCTAAACTGATAGAGGCCATCTACAGCAAACCCACAGCCAATATCATATTGAATGGAGTTAAATTGAAATCATTTTCACTCACACCAGGAACCAGTCAAGGTTGCCCATTGTCTTCACACTCTTTATCATTGTAATGTAAGTTTTAGCCATCACAATTAGGGAAGAAAAGCCGATCAAGGGTATCCATATAGGGTCAGAAGAGATTATACTTTCAGTCTTCGCAGATGATATGATTGTACATCTGGAAAACACCAGGGATTCTACTACAAAACTCTTAGAAGTGATCAAGGAATATAGCAGTGTCTCAGATTACAAAATCAACACTCATAAATCTGTAACCTTTATATATACCAACAATAGTCAAGCTGAAAAAGCAGTCAAGGACTCTATTCCATTCACAGTAGTGTCAAAGAAGATGAAATATTTGGGAGTTTACCTAACAAAGGACATGAAAGATCTCTATAAAGAGAACTAAGAAACTCTGAGAAAAGAAATAGCTGAAGATGTTAACAAATGGAAAAACATACCATGCTTATAGCTGGGAAGAATCAACATTGTTAATATGTCCATACTACCCAAAGCAATATAGAATTTTAATGTAATCCCTATTAAAGATCCTGTCATACTTTAGAGATCTTGAAAAAATAGTACTTTATTTTATATGGAATCAAAAAACACCTTGAATAGCCAAGACATTACTCACAAATAAAAACAAAGCAGGAGGAATCACGCTACCAGACCTCAGACTATACTATAAATCTATAGCGATCAAAACAGCATGGTACTGGCACAAAAATAGAGAGGTAGATGTATGGAAAAGAATAGCGAACCAAGAGATGAACCCAGCTACTTACTGGTACCTGATCTTTGACAAGCCAATTAAAAACATTGAGAGGGGAAAAGATTCCCTGTTTAACAAATGGTGCTGGGAGAACTGGCTGGCGACCTGTAGAAGACTAAAACTGGACCCACACCTCTTACCATTAACTCAGATAGACTCTCACTGGATTAAAGATTTAAACTTAAGACATGAAACTATAAAAATATGAGAAGAAAGTGCAGGGAAAACTCTTGAATAAATTGTTCTTGGTGAATATTTTATGAGGAGGACCCCCTGGGCAATTGAAGCAGCATCAAAAATACACTATTGGGACCTGATCAAACTAAAAAGTTTCTGCACATCCAAGAACACAGTAAGTAAAACAAGCAGACAGCCCTCAGAATGGGAGAAGATATTTGTAGGTTGATAAAGGTTTAATAACCAGAATCCACAGACAACTCAAACATACTAGCAAGAAAAGAACAAGTGGTCCCATCTCAGGGTGGGCAAGGGCCTTGAAGAGAAACTTCTCTGAAGAAGACAGGCACACAGCCTACAGACATATGAAAAAAATACTCATCATCCTAAAGCATCAGAGAAATGCAAATCAAAACTACTTTGAGATATCATCTAACTCCAGTAAGATTAGCCCATATCACAAAATCCCAAATTTAGAGATATTGGCATGGATGTGGTGAAAAGGGAACACTTCTACACTGCTGGTGGGAATGCAAACTAATACATTCCTTTTGGAAAGATGTTTGGAGAACACTTAGAGAACTAATAATAGACCCACCATTTGATCCTACAGTATCCTTTATTAGGTATATATCCAGAAGACCAAAAATCACACTATAAGAAAGATATATGTATCAGAATGTTTATTGCATCCCAATTCATAATTGCTAAGTCATGGAAGAAGCCCAAGTGCCCATCGACCCATGAATGGATCAATAAATTGTGCTATATGGACACCATGGAATATTATGCAACCTTAAAGAAATATGGAGACTTTACCTTCTTCATGTTTACCTGGATGGAGCTGAAACATATTCTTCTTAGCACAATATCTCAAGAATGGAAGAAAAAGTATCCAATGTACTCAGCCCTACTATACAACTAATTTATAGCTTTTATATGAAAGCTATAACCCAATTATAGCTCAAGAATATGGGGAAAGGGCAAAGGAGAAAGGGAGGGGAGGGGGTAGGATGGGTCAAAGGAGGGTAATTGGTGGGACCATACCTACGGTACATCTCAAAAGGGTACACGTGAAACTTAATAAATGTAGAATATAAATGTCTTAACACAATAGCTAAGAAAATGCCATGAAGGCTATGTTAACCAGTTTGATGAAAATATTTCAAACTGTATATAAAACCAACACATTGTACCCCATGATTGTATTAATGTACACAGCTATGATTTAATAAAAAAGAAGTAAAAAAAAAACTGCCCTGAAATCCAAAAAAACTTTATGATAAGAAATTAAAGATGATTTAGAAAAGTGGAAGGGAATGTTGAAATCTTGTTAACATTATAATAATGCTAGTCTTCAAATTGATCTCCTGAGTCAATGTATTGCAATAGATACTATAGCACTTACTTTATTAATCTTTAACAGAGCTGATTCTAAAATTTTTATGGAAGTAAAAAGGACAAAACATAGCTAAAACAGTCTTAAGAAGAACAAAGCTGGAAGACTTACTACAAATCTGAAGACTTATAATAAAGCTGCAGTAACTAAGATGTTGTGGTATTGATGTAAAAATATATATTGGCTGATGCAATAGAATAGAATTTCCAGCAACAAGTCTCAACTTGAGCACCTGAATTATAGCAAATATGCTGCTGCAAGGGGAAAGGAAAACATATTCAATAAATGACACATATCAGTTAGATATTTTATGGGAAGAAATGAAATATAGTGCATTACTTCATTATACTTTAGTATATAGTTGATAGATGTCTATAGGTCAGTGGCCCTGGGTTATCATTCCAGCTTTGCTTGTCCTTAACAATTAAGCATTGCCTCTGATACTATGGAAATGTATCAACAAATAGCAGGCTCCCCAACCAACATTTTTGGTCTATCCAGAATGGATATTAGTAAGTTCCCTGTAATGTACTCTCTACTAGTACATTGGGTATTGGTTTTGTAAGAATTTTTTTTTTTTTTTATTTTGCTTCTCATAGCCAGTAGGTTCTTCGGCTTTAATTAGTAAATCCAACCTAGCATTACAACTATTTGAGCCTTTTGAATGATGTATGAACTGACATCTCCACCTCATTTACTGAAGGTTCTGATGTGTCCAAGTTTAAGTAGCCATAATTGCAGTACTTTAGGCTTAGCTCCAGTGTCCTTGCCAGGATACTAAATGTTGGGCTACTTAGAGTGGACCTATATCAACAATTTCTTTCTTGTTCAATATTTTATATAACTTGCACCAAAATCTAGCCCCTTGCAATTCATTCTTAGGCATTTTTTTCTTGATCCCTGCAGTATATTTTAGCTATTTTGGTGTGAACGATTGCTTCCATCTACAGAAGACAAAGTAATTCTCCAGCAATGTTGTGTTGAAACTTCACCCTAAGTTTTTGTGCTAAAAGCCATTATTTGAGGTGAAGATTTTTTCTCTGAAATTTCAGTTTACTATGAGTGTATATACTATTAGGTTACATAAATTGCTTTTGTAAGGTTAAAGTCTGTGTGTCCTTCACCCAGGAAGTGTGACATGTTCCTGTGCAGTGCACCTGTTGGGTGGGAACTTACCCATCCCCTTCCCTCCCATTTGAATTTAATTTAGTTTAATTTAGGAAATTTACCTATGATTTTAATAATTTCTACATTATAGATGAATTCTGCATATTCTGTGTTACAGTTTGAATGAGTTCCTGTTTTGCTTGGTTTTCATTTAAATTTTGTCTTAAGATTTCTTAAAAGTGGTGCAAATTTATTTTTACATTTTAGTTGCATATTTGATCTGTAATATATGCTTTAAGAGGACAGAATTATTGTTGGTTTGGCTCTGCATTTTATTTAAGATATTTAACGGGGGTGAAATGCTCAGTAAAATTTGTATTTAATAAATTCAGAGATTATTTGTGAAGCTCAGTGGACAGAATAACAAAAATGAGCAGTATTCCTTGTTTTCTTGTGAAACGAATATTTTATTAATATTTGTATTTTGTTTTGGTTTGCACTTTTTATAAGGCTGGATATGATATATTTTTTCCTTATAGAAAATTATTAACATAACATCTATAAAAGTAGAGTGCAGGAAGTAAGAAGTGATCGTAGACAAGTTGTGGATGCAAGAAAAATTTTGAAAGATTAGTTTGGATGGATTAATGGATTTTAGATTGTGAAGGAACAAATTATTTTAGAAACTTAATGAAATATGCTTTGCAGAGCCAATGTCTTATGAAAACTTGAATCATCAGCTTCAGCATTCCTTTATTTCTTGGACAATAATGTGATTCTTTTGACTGAGTCCTTGAAGGCTTGCTTTACTTGCTTGTTCCTCAGAGTGTAAATAAATGGGTTCAGCACAGGAGCAATGGAAGTAGTTAGCACTATCACTCCCTTGTTAATAGCAACAGATTCTGTTGCTGAAGGTTTGATATAGATGAAGATGCAGCTGCCATATGTGATGGAAACCACAATCATGTGGGAAGAGCAGGTAGAAAAGGCTTTTTTCCTTTGCAGGGCAGAAGGGAATCTTAGAATGGTCTTGATTATGTATACGTAGGAGAGAACTACACAAAGAAGGGTTGTGATGAAGGTCAAGACAGCACAGGCTATAACCATCTGCTCAATGATCCACGTGTCTGAGCATGAAATCTTTAGGAAAGGAGACACATCACAAAGAAAGCTATCAATGATGTTAGAGTCACAGAACTCTAGGTTTTGGCTCAGGCTAAATGGTGGGAGTATGATTAACAAGCCGGCCATCCAACAGCAGAGGATGAATCTTCGGCAGACTCCGCTGCTCATGATGGTGGTGTAATGCAGGGGTTTGCAGATGGCCACGTAGCGGTCATAGGACATGGTGGCCAGGAGAAAAAATTCAGTTACTCCAAAAAGATCAGTAAAAAATGCTTGAATGGCACAGGCACAGTATGTAATCGTCTTGTCGCCTGTTGATAGGTTATACAAGTATCTAGGAATACAAGCTGATGTGAATAAGATTTCTAAGAAGGAAAAATTTTGTAGGAAAAAGTACATTGCTGTTTTAAGGTGAGAATCAATTAATACAAGTGAGATAATAGCCAAGTTCCCAGTTATACTCAGTAAATAAGTGAAAAACAAAAAAATTAAAAGCAGACCCTGAAGTTTTGGATCATCTGTTAGACCCAGGAGAATGAATGTTGTTACTGTTTGGTTTCTCATAACTGACTACCTATTTTTGTCCAGTCTTCATAAAAAAATAAGATATTTTATTAGAATATAGGGATGTCAAAATTCAGTAATGATAAACAATGAGATGTAAATTCAAGCAAGCAAGTGGTTCACATGAAATTCATTCTTTGGTTTGGTAATATTAACATACTCATGGACTTAATTTGTAAATTTCCTTTTAAAAATAATTTATTTTTATTTATTGTTTGGGATTTATTGAGGATACAAAGAAGTAGGTTACACTGATTGCATTTGTTCAAGTCTTCTTATAATTGTGCCATATAGTGTGACCCCCATTGAAAATAATTTTTGAAGAATAATTTCTTAAAGATCTATTTAGCTGCACCAAAATCCAATAATTCATGTATTTTGCCTCTCTATTGCATTTTTCCAAACTTACTTTAGGTTTTCATTCTGGATTAGTTTTTATTAACCATACATTGTGATGTCATCAATATTAAGCTTTTCCTTTTACTTCCATGCATCCTTTATTCTGGAGTTGAAATATTGAAGTTCATTAACAGTTTCATATCTTTGCTTCTGTCTTGGTCCTTAATAAAATAAAAGTACATAAGAAATGATTTGGATGTCCTATAAAGGCTCCCCCAAATCCACATCAATTATAATTTTATGTCAACTGCTATAACAAAACATTGTTTTGCTGTTATGTGTACAAATTGCATAGTGGGGGGTACATGCATCAAATCCTATGATTTCAGATAGAATCTATATGTGATAATTCTTCTATTTGCACATCTACTAGTGATTCTTTGGAATTTCAGTTGTATAGAGCCACATATGCCTCATATTGAACATGTGCAAATGGATTTCATGGGCTCTGCCTTCCTATCTTCTTCCCATGTGGTTTTTCTTTTTCCTTTGTTGAGATGAAGTCTCAGTCTGTAGCCCTGGGTGGAGTGCTGTGGCATCAAACTCCTGGGTCTGAGCAATCCTTTTGCCTCAGCCTTCCAAGTTGCTGGGACTACAGGCGTCTGCACAATGCCCAGCTAGTTTTTCTATCTTTAGTAGAGAATGAGGCCTCACTCTTGCTCAGGCTGGTCTCAAACTCCTGAGTGCAAACAATACTCCCTCCTCAGTCTCCCAGAGTGCTAGGATTACAGGTGTGAGCCACCATGCCTGGCCATATGTGTTTTATCTGATAAAGCCAATTATTACAGTAACTGAACTCACGTAATGTTCCACGTGTTATATAATGACTTCACAGAAAGCACCCACTTGGAGCAAGAAGCCTTCTAATCCTTTCCTTTTTTTAACTTCATTTTTCTTTTTTCCTTGAACTCAACCTGAGGACACCATTTTCTGATTTTTCAGTCTAAGTGTTATTTTTTTTGGGAAGTCCTTTGAAATCCGGTGGTTGTCTTGGATCCCTGAGCTCTCATTTATACCCCATTGCCAAACAGTACTTGTTTGTACCACAGCACTTACCAGGGCAGCATAAATCTGTTGCGATCACAGAGTGTGTGTCTCTGTGTTTGCTAGGGTAACCAACAAAACGAACACAACCCAGGCATGTAGTCAGTGTTTAACAAATGCTTATTGGTTAAATGACAAGATTATCATTTTCCTATGGATACATACAAAACTATCTTCTTTCCTGTTTGGACTTCTTGGTATTACTCTATCACTGAGTTTACTTTAAAAAAAATTCTATGCCCGTGGCTTTCATATTTTGTGGTTTTACAGTGGAATGTTTTGTTTTTTTTTTTTTTTTTATTGAATGGTAACTATGTACATTAATGCACTTCTGGGGTACAGT